GAAGATCCGAACTCCGATTCAGCAAGAAGAGGTCTTGCAGCCTCCCTAGGGATTGCCGACCAGGGATCGCTGAAAACGGCAGGCCTTTCCGCGCCTGTTGGCCCGGAACCACAGTGGTCTCGCCAGGGCCAGTTGGCCTGTAGGCAGTGCAGCTTGCTCCAGCCATTTGCTCCCCCTACGTGCGGCTCCAGATTTGATCGGGCAGTGTGGTAAAACCAGAGCCCTGGACCCGCATGCTGTCCTTTTGCCCCATCACAGTGCCCGTAGCAGGGCCAACTGGGGAAGGCCACTTGCCTGACTTTGGCCTGAGCAGCTCAAAGATGCCCCAAGCCCGAATCTGCGCAAGAGAGCTGGGCAGGTTCCCTGGCAAACAGGAGGCCCTCCAGCTCCAGTCGCGCCGTGGAGGCGCCCTGACTCCTTTGTGGTCCACCCTTTGGCAAGCCGCCCAGGTTCCTCCCAGCTGCCACCCGCTCAGGCATCCGCACTGCAGAGGGCGGCTGCCTGCTCGCCTGGACCCTGCCGGCCTGCTCCTGTCTCCGCTACAACCCCCTTCTCCGCAGCGAATTGCAGAACGCCCCGTTAAGCTTTCCATGTTTAGAGTTCCGTCCCTTGGCGCGCCAGCGGGACCGCCTTAGAGTTCCCTTTCCACGCTTTATGCTCCTTACCTCCCATCACAGCTTAATAATCTTTAGGTTAAATTTCGCCAAAATACTGCACGGATTCTGTCTCCTGACTGGATACAGACTCTTCCAATCACAGTTATCACGTATTAAAGATACTTTTGTTTGCATACATTTAGTATTATTTGTATTTGCTGCCTCTTCTGTAATTTTTTTCGTACACCATCTACGCTTCTTTTTTTCTGGCTAAGGCTTAGTACTTCTTATGCAATTATAGACTTCATGCTATTAAGATTAACTTGTCCGTTATGGCAGGGTATCAGACACTATACAATGTATAAGTGTTATGAATTTAACTATTACTTATTTTCCTATTTAGTGAGATGAGACTATTTCTTATTAATAATAATAGAAACCTCCCTGCTTACTTAGTAAGAAGATTTCCTAGGATTGAGCACAGGCCACAGTATACTTTATCTTCATCCAGCTTAGGCTTTGGTGATACCGAGAAGTAAATAACCTTTGTCTGAAAATTATCGCAGATTTAAATGATATAATTAATCTTCGCACCATTCTTCTGTAGCAGTATGATGGATCAATCACAATTTCGCTACAATGCTATTAGGATCAAATGAAATTAGTTTAGAGAATGCAAGATATTACATAAAACTCCATTTTGATATAGAGTTCATAATGAAATCATAGATGATACTTGTGGCATTTCTTCATTCTCAGTGCTTTTTCAAATGACTAAGCAGACCTGCAAGTGCCTTGAGAGCCGTCTTGCAGAATAAGAAAGATGCCAGGAGGTAAAACTCCAGATTCTCTGTCTAGCTTCAGCTATAACAGCTTTGCTTTATCCATTGCGTTCATTTAGCAACCAATAGGTGCTTGTGGACCAAGTTTTGTTTTAGCTGATGCAGTATATTAAGTATCTGTGGTATATTTGTTTGGAAAAATAAAGAAAGAAAACGATTTTGACTAACCTTTTAAAAAAAAGCTTAAGAATAGTTTGGGAAGTCATCGGTAGAATATAGAGAAACAAAAAGGACCCAGGTTGAGAAAATACAATCTGGATTTTTTAACAGAGTCCATAATCTTTTCCTTCCCAAAGGACAGACAGCTCTGATGTCACAGATAGCCAGAAGTCACCTACCCATGTAAAGATTGTCCCAGACGTTATGAAATGCCAGAGTCTTCAAGGAGCTGTGAAACACTGTCCCCGTCAGATTCCTTGACAGTGTGAAAATGTACTTCTTTTTTATTTCAAGAACTGGCAGCTTTAACTTCTGAGTCATTTTTTAGTTGCTTGATGATGTTTCAGCTCTCTGGAGAGTTCAAGCTAAAAGAAGATTAATCTGCGTATTTGAAGACACCATTTATATTCGAGTTCATTACATGTTTTACTAGAAAGGAAATTTGGAATACATGGTATCCAGGCTTATTTCAGTTACTGAAACTAAATTCAAGCTCATTTTAGTCCAGTTGTGAACCCTCAGGTTCACAACCTCAGGGAGAAACAAGCTTTTCCAACATTCAAATTTCTACAGAGTTGAGGTCATATATATTTGTATGAATGCAAGTACAGATTTTGTGCATTCACCAAATAGTAATATCTCTCTTTGTTGAAGTGTTTTAGCAGTCGTGGCCTGTGCTGCTAAACCGTAGTCTCTGTTTTTACTGCTCGTTTGCTTTGAAGACATTTCAGGATAATAGCCTTTTCTCTATTGAATCTGAACATGAAAGAAGAGAAAGGAGCATTAAAAATTGGACATGTTTTGTGCATTGGACCTATTAAAGTACCTAGCATGCATGCTCTTGACTTACTTTGTTACTGTTCGTTGAATCTCTCTTTTCTCTTCTTCATTTAATCTTTGAAGAATGGATTCCAAGAGAGAAAAATGAAAGTTAATGTACTGAGCCACCTAAGAAAAAAGAGAAAAAAGAAAAGCAGAGCGTTTATGTGAGAGGTCTGAGTCAGAAGGGAAGCAAAGACAGACATAGGGCGCAGGATCCGTACATCACTGCTAATTTCTTCTGCATCTTTATCCATGAGGAAAATGCGCGCGTTGTTTCTGGAAGGTCCCTGGAGGAGCCGCTGCAGTAGGGGGATGTCTGTCCCTTTCAGGCGTCTCTGTTCTGCAAATGCAAACAAGAGTCGTCACCCACAGTCAGGAGTTCAGGCTAGAGGAAAAGAAGGCAGGCAATTTTCCCATTCATTTTCTTTCTTTAGTTGACATGGAAAGAAATAAGATCTGAAAAGCACCTATGAGAGGAGGAACTCACTCAAAAAAGTAAATTGAGATTAAAACATTTGAATGGACTAAAAATGGTCTTATTTCTCTTACTATCCCTCAAGGTTTGACTCAGCATCTCCAAGAATGCCAACTTGCTTTGGTTAGAATGCTCAGATAAATTTTCAGTTCTATTCATGCCTTTTGTAAAGCAACATGCCTCAGTAATTTTTTTTCATTTGTGGGGTTTTCATTTCCATTCAGTATCGCCTTATATCCTTTAATCTGTCACGCTCTGCGGCTGCCAGGCCACACATAGTGCCTGTCCCCTGTTCTGCTCCTAACCTCCGACCCGTCACCGAGCTCTGAATGCGCCTCTCTGAGGAAGGGAGAGCACTGCCACAGCGGGTCACAGCCTGTGCCAAGAAGGAGGCAGCAACAAGGTCCGAGAGAGAGAACAGGTGTGCAACAGCCAGAGCAAGCGGTTAAAGCCCAAAAGAGAGCAGTACAGAGGTGAGCAAAGACAAGGGTGCCTAGCAATTCCTGGGGAACCCTCCATGGATTCCCAGGGTGCTGGTCTCCATTCTGATAATTTTGTGTCTGCTAATGAACTCTTTTGCATCATAAACTCTTATTATTCTTAGGTTACCTTTCCTGAAATTGTAGAATCTAAATAATGGCCTAAAACCCCCACCCCTCCCTCCCCCTCTCCCTCCCTCCTGCCCTCCCTCCTGTTTTCCCACAGAACGAAGTAAGCAACCTCCCTCCTGCCTTCTCATGGGCAGAAAACCATAACAGGCTGGATCAACGTAGAAAAAGGATGATCAAGTTTTCTTACCTCCTGTTGCAAAATAATGTAACGAGCAAAATCCTGAGGACTACTTTTCAATCTGTCAATGGAAAAAAAATGAACAAACGTGAATTCTTAGTTGCCATGCTGATGTTTTCTAAGTGACTACACCCAAATTATGTGTCTGTTCTTCACTTCCATTTTTCACTTTCAGAAGCAAAACCTTCCTCTGCTCCCCGGGTTAATTTCTCAGGAGAAGTGACTAAATGGTCTTATACACAACGAAAGAGCCTTCAGAACTGAACATCCAATTTAGATTGGTACACATTCATAGAGCTTTTCACAAGAGTGCATTCATTTGTCTGCAGTTAATTTATATAAGATATTTATAGCTCGTTAGTGATAAAGATTACCTTAAATTTTTGGAGAAGTTGCTTTATTACTTCTTCAGTCCTCATGTTACTGTTTATTCTGACCTTAGTTTCTGATCCAAAGGCTGGAGTAAAAATTGACTGCTAGAAAAAATTGTCATATCAGTTACTTAAATTATACTCAAATCTCACAACAGTCATACCTTGAACTTTGATTCTCTCATGGGGGCAAAAAAAAAAAAAAAGACCAAGTCACGTGCTAAAAATATTTGTTTTTTTGTTTTTGCTTTTTGTCATTGTGCAATATGTATGTTCCTTTTAAGAACTTTTATTACTCTAGAGGTAAGTGCAGGTAAAACATCAGTTTGGAGCGGGTTCAGGAATTATCACGAAGGGTAATCACATCCCTCTTGGGGTAGTTTACAGATTTCAACAAATAAAATAAATATTATAACGCAAAAAAACCTAAGCAACATGAATAGGCTCTTTCAAGACTTCAACATGTCATGCCTTCTACTGTGGTTGGAATAATCATATTTAAATTGCTTGTTAGTTGTGAACCGTAGAAGGACTGGCATGTTGGTAGGCAGAAAATTCTAGTGTTGCATTTTAGATGGTTAACATTTTCTAACTGGAGGGTTGGTTGTAGAAAGCACTTTCGATTGGGCTCAGAAATGTTTCCTACAAGTTTTCTAATCAAGATCAGCTTTCAGATGATACTTGGCAAAAAGTTCTAGATCAGGATAATTTGGGACATTCTTCTCAGGGATTGTAACTATACCATAAAACTATCATAACCAACCTTATAACCATGGATGCTTTACTCACAATTTGATCATTTCTTTTTTAAAATCAAATAAATCTCTTTTAAATGTAATATATTAATAGCAGCATCGGGAAATCTGCGCGGCAGGTGCTGGCCATGGGGTATTGTGGGGTTGATTTTCTCACATGTATTGTTATAGTGTCAGCCCTCTGGCACCCGTGTATTCAACCAACAGAGGATCAAAAATATTTGAAAAATAAACCAATAAGAAACATCAATGCAGCAATAAAAATAATACAAATAAAAACTATAGTATAACAACTATTTATATAGCATTTGCATTGTATTAGATATTATAAATTATAGAGATAATTTAAAGTATATGGGAGGATGTGTGTAGGAGATATGAAAACATACATCACTTTATATAAGGGACTTGAGCATCTGTGATTATAGTGTCTGTGTGTGTTTGGGGAGAGGTGTCCTGAACCCAATCCCCTGAAGATGCCAAGGGACAGCTATAAGTGTTTCTTGGTCACAAATCTG